TATAGAACCCTAATAACAAGTAGTCCGACTCGTTGACAGCAGTACCTAACTCTAAGCATGTGTTAGTGAAAAAGTACCTAACTCTACCCTGTAGGATTTTGTGAGTTAACTAAAAATCAAGTTAACTTTTTGATAACTTCTTATGACTAGCTTCAAAGTAACTCAAAAATGATCGAGGAAATGAACAAACATTTCAATAAAATTTTAAATAAAAAATAAAATAGAAACTCGTATCAAATTTGTCAAACAATTTGTACTGAAAAAATGAAATTTTGAAAATTTGTTTCAGCAATGAAAAATGAATTTATTATTATTAAATTAACATTTTCAGGAATATAAGACATAGATAATGGTGTATATAGGAAGGAAATGTTGCTGCATATTGAACGCATTTATAATCACTAACAATTTGTTAAAAATAGTAAAAAATATAAGAAAATTGCACAGGTAACTCACAGCTGATCTTTTATTTATGCACTACAAGCTAACTCATCTTGAGGTAACTTCTGGTTAACTGAAACTGATGTATTGTGAGTGAGTACTGACTCGTTCCTATGACATCACATTGAAAAACTGAATAGTATTTTATAAGCAAAATGGTTAGCTTTTGAGTCACCTCTGACTCATTTGTGGTTAACCATAAGTTAGTTTTAAGTTAACTCAAAATCCTACTGGGTAAATATGTGATGGTAACAAAAATGTATATGTGTTGGTGCATTCTGAACACACAGAGTTTTATAAAAAATTACAATTTTAAATTTGTTTGAATTTTCAATACCAAAAATTGAAACTCTGTTTGTAAAATAAAATTCAACAACAACAAAAATGAAATGTCAATAATTAAAAAAAATATTTTTTTCCAGTTCAAGCAAATTAAACAAAATTCTTAATAAAAAGTCCTTGAAAACTATTTAAAAAATGCAGTTTTTTTGTGGATAAATGCAATTTCGCGTACGATGCCTAAAAGTGGCCAAAAAAGTAAGGTGAACATTTGAGTGCTTTGACAAGTTTAATTTTCTCACAAGAGAGCCGTATTCACACGGCACTCGTACATGTGAGAGAGTAATTTCCCATATGTGAGAGTCGGACTACTTGTTACATGATAAAAATATGAAGGTAGTGTCATTTCTCTCTCTCAAAAAATTTTTTGAAGTTTACTGGTATTTTTGATATTTGTATTTTGTAAACAAATAGAAAAATCCTTGCCGTAGTATATGAAAAATGGGAAACTAGTTTTAAAGAAATTTGTGTAGTGTATGTGGAATTTATGTTAATGATTTTTAAAATATTTTAAGTCCAGAGATAACCGTTGTTGAGCTGGTCCGATTTAGTTAGTTAATCAGTTTGAACGGAGGATGTATGTTTCATCAAACCTGAAGAAATACACCTAGGTTTCCACCGGGCCTGTTGTGCTCTCTTTTATTAGTGTATCTGGTCGAAGTCGAACCCACGACTTCCGGCCTAACAGACTAGAATACTAACAACTAACCCATAGGAGGCACAAAGATTTAAAAAAGGATTATAAAAAAATATGTACATATACATACATACATATACATACGTAGATGGATAAAATTTAAGATAAATATATATTTCTTTAAGTTTAAAAGTATTTCATACACAAAATGGACCGTATACCACACGGTTTACATAAAAAATTAACTTATAAAGTTAAGGCGAGCAACAAGAAATTCCACTTAGCTTTCTTGTCCAAACCCTAATAACGGTGTCAATATTAGAAAAAGGAGTTGGAAGCAAAGTAGCCAAAAATTTCATGACAGCCTTATTTTGCACCTGAAGTAAACCGCGTATTCTTGGACCCAATGGACAGCTAATTCTGGTTCATTCTGCCTACATATATACCTACATATACGTTGGAAGATAAATTCTTGATGTAAGAAGATAAAAACTCCAATTTGTTATTACATATGTATGTATACCGTTTTTAGTTGGTTCCTCCTGTTAATCTATTCCACAACTTAAAGAACATGGGAAGCAACAGACAATGCTTTCGGAGGCGAATAGTGTCCATATGACACACGGTCCTTATTATATGAGAATTTATTGAGAGATTTTTGTACTTTTTCGTTATTCCGATGGTACTTTTTTTAAATTTTTACGATATTGAACATATAAATATAAAATTTAAAATGTGAATGAGAATTCATCAAATTATATTTTTTGAATTTTATATAATTTTGAAGACAGAAACATAAAATTTTGATTAAATGAGAATCTATGAGGTATTTCATGGTACTTTTTTTTTTCAAATAGTACTTTCGAAATTTTCTATAATGTGGAAGCTAAGCGAACGAAACTAAAAATACAAGCTTCTTACTGAATGCGAATTTATTCAAGTGATATTGAACGTAAAAAACTGTGATATCTCAACAAACAAAGCAAGACCCTTTGTGCCGTTAAATTTTCGTAAAATTGTATTCAATTCACTTCAAGGATTTTCAAGATAGTTTTGTATTTTGAATTAATGAACACTTTTCAA